GACGGCCGGCGGCATCCCGGCGCGGGCGATCATATCGCCGCCACGGAGGCACCATGGCGCGGCAGGAAGGGGGGCGAGGAGCGGGGAGGGGAGGGCGGAACAGACGCTATAGGCCATAGGGCCTCCTGGCGTGGGCTCGCGGGCAGGCCGATTCGAGCTAACGCGAGGAGGAGGACGAGGAGGAGCAGAAGGAGGAGGAGAAGGAGGAGGAGGAGGAGGAGGAGGAGGAGGATCGGGAATGATCGAGGAGGATCGAGGGGGAGGACGAGGAGGAAGATCGAGGAGGGCGATGAGAGGTGGATCGAAGAGGAGGAGGAGGAGGCAGCATGAGGCAGCACGAGGAGTAGGAGGGCGGACAGCGCGGCGGTGGACGCCACGCTCGTCCTGCCACGCGTGGGCTGCGGGCGGGGCCCTTGACCCCTGCTGCTGGTGCTGGTGCTGGTGCTGGTGCTGGTGCTGGTGCTGGTGCTGCTGCTGCTGCTGCTGCCGCGCGTCCCCTCCCTTCGTCGGCAGAGAAGGAGGAGGACGACGATCGAGGAGGAGGGGGGAGGGGGATCGAGGAAGGGGAGGGGAATCGAGGAGGATGATCGAGGACAAGTATGATCGAGCAGGGGGAGGAGGAGGAAGAGGAGGAGGAGGAGGAGAAGGAGGAGGAGGAGGAGGAGGAGGAGGAGGAGGAGGAGGAGGAGGAAGAGAAGGATCGCGGAGGTGGGGGCAGGAAGAGGTAGGGAGCAGGATCGATAAGGATGGGGGAAGGGAAAGTAAGGAGAAGGAGGGAGAAGACAGGGAGAAAGAGAGAGAGAGAGAGGAAGGAAAAAGGATGAGGACAAGAAGGAGGGGTAGGAGGAGGAGGAGGAGGAGGAGAAGGAGGAGGAGGAGGAGGACGAAGATGAAGAGGAGGAGGAGGAGCATGAGCAGGACGAAGAGCACGAGGGTGATGATGATGATGATGAGGAGGAGGATCCGGGATCGAGGACCCACATCATTCGGGCGCTTTGGCCTCTTTCTGAGCTTCTGGGGGCCTCTGGGGACTTCCTCCTGTGCCTCCTTCTCCCTCCTCCTCCTCTTTCGTCCTCCTGTTCTCCGCCTCCTCCTCCTCCTTCTCCTCCTCTTCCTTCTCTCAACAAGTGCGTCCGTCTGCGCGGCTGTGGGCTATCGCTAAAGGGCCCCCCTGGCATTTTGCAGCGGAATCGCGCGGAACCTGTGAAGTGATACCACCGCATTGTAGAGCAATCGAACCTCCGCCTCCCTCCTTCCCCCTCCCAGACCTCCAACGACTTGTCAATTGTTGTTGTTTTGCTTTTCCTTCTGAGTCGCCTGAACCTTGGCCTCTCGACACCTTCCCCCGAGGTCACTGGAGGTGCGGTCTGACTCAAGCATTCTAAAGGGATCCAGCCGTGGCGACGAGAGGTCCTCCCAGAAAACCCCCGACGAATAGAATCACCGACGAACTTAACCGTCGAACGGGAGAGGGGAGGAGGAAGGAAGATGGAGCATGGGACTGCCCCCCCCCTCCTACACCTCCTCCTTCCTCCTCCTCCTCATCCTCCTCCACCTCCTCCTCCTCCTCCTCCTCCTCCTCCTCCTCTCTCCGCCGCCTCCCTGTCCCCCCAGAAGGGGGCAGAGGAGGATGGAGACGCCTGTCCTGTGCTGCCAGGACGGGGCCCGCTTGCCCCTGAGCCCCTTGCCCTGCTGCGTCACGCCAGGGCCCTTGCGGCGCTGAGCGGGCCCAGCCCGGCGCAGCATGCCTCGGGGAGGAAGGGCCTGCGAACGACGGACGACGGACGATGACGACGACGACGACTACGAAAGATGACGCCGACGACGATGACTGACGACGACGGACGGCGGACGACGGCGAAGGATGAAGTGGAGGCATTGCAGGGCTCCGGGAGGCACTGCGAGGGCTCTCGAGCATTCGTTCAGGGAGGGGTAAGGTAGCAGCGCATGCGGAGGAGGGGGTCGGAGAGGGAAAAGGAGTGGGAGGAGAGGCATGAGGAGGACGAGGAACCGGAGGAGGAAGAAGAAAGGAAACGATTAGGAGCAGGAGGAGTAGGAGGAGGAGGAGGAGGAGGAGGAGGAGGAGGAGCAAAAGCAGGAGCAGGATGAGGAGGAAGAGGAGCAGTACGAGGAGGGGTGGAGGGATGATAAAGGCTTGGGAAGGCAGGACGGATACAAAAAAGAGGAGGAGAAGGAGGATGAGGAGGAGGAGGGAGGCGGAGGAGGAGGAACAGGACGAGCAGGAGGATGAGAAGGAGGAGGAGGAGAAGGAGGAGGGGAAGGAGGGGCTGCAGGAAGAGGGGAGGAGGTAGCGCGGAGGAAAAGGAGGAGGCGAGGTGGAGGCGGAAGGGGAGACCGAATGGGAAACAGAGAGGAGACGATCATAAAACAGGACGGGAGGGCTGAAGCGGCCTGCGCACGCAGTGGCGAGCCGCAGCACGGTATCCTCGAATGCCTCCTCGATCACCTCGCAGCCCACGCGCACGTCGTCGGCGAACTC